GTAAATTTTTCGTCGGAAATCCCCCTGTAGGGAGACAGGCCCGACTTAAGTCCAGCTCGAAGAAGAATGCCGCAAGAAGATGGGGTCCTGGGCTCGGGCCGGGCTCGCGCCACTGGATCTCACCCCACCGGCTCCGACGCTCCCCCATCGAAGATCCCCCTTCCTCCCCCCTTCAAAGACCCCCCCCTCCTCCCTCTCCGGAGTCTCCTCCACCCTGGCCTGGCGAAAACCCCCCCTCGCAGCCAACCCCACCCGAACCATTCCGAAAATACTCGGGGGGGGGTCAAGCCCCCCCTCTCTCCGCGTAGTCGCCATCGTTTGCCAGCGGGTCGGTCGGTCGGGCGGACGGGCGGGACACGACTATGACACGACTATGACACGCCGCGTGTCGGTCGGCGGGCGGGCGGGACAGTCGTCAGGAACAAATCGGTCGGGACGGACACGTCGTCGTTTGCCGCCGGTGAGCGTCGTTGCTGTCACCGTCGCCATCGCCGTCGTCCCCGTCGTCGTCACCGTCGTCGTCGTTTGCGCACGCCGGACGTCGTCTCCATCGCCATCGCTGGCGCTCAAAATTGGTAGCGGGGCGTTGGACCCCCCTTGACTTTCACTCTGGAGCTTGTGGGGTTCAGCCATCTCCCCCCTCGGCTCTTGGTCTTGGAGGGGGGGGGGATTGAAACCCTCCCTCCGACGGATTTTCTTCGAAGAGCGTGGCCTCCTTCTCACGCCCCCCACGCGGGCGACGCCTAAGCCCAAAGCAGGCGCCCCCCGATTTCCTCCCAGCGAACTCCAGCGACGCTCTGTCAAACTTCGGCATTTGCACGCCAGGGCAACGCGCGCGCGCTCGGTCGACTGCCAACACCTGCAGACGGCGGCAGGCTGGCGCGCAGTGCCGTGCACAAGGGGGCCGAGACTGCCGAGAACAATCCCGCCCGCGCGGGCCAGACGGCGCCCTCGAGCCGGAGGCTTGAGCTAGAGCAGATCGAGCCAAAAAGGCCACGGAGAGAAAGAGAGCGATAATGAAAGACACGTCATATATACACGCATACACATGCATATGCATATACATAAACATATACGGGAACACGTACATATAGATATACATACACCAATACATATAAATATGCATATGCATATGCATATGCATACGCGTATACATATACATATACATATACATATACATATACATATACATCTACATCTACAAATACTTATATATACACATATACATGTGCATATGCATATACATATACATATACATATGCATATTCATATACATATACATATACAAATACAAGTACCTATACATATACATATACATATACGTATATATACATATACATATACAATTACATGTACATATACATATACATATACATATACATATACATATACATATATAAATGCATATACTTATATAGACATGGACATATGCATCTACATATACACATACATATACATACATACACATAGACATGCGTACACATATGCATATAAATATACATATATATGTATGTATGCATATGCACGTACATATACATATACATAAACATAAACATAAACATATTCATAAACATATACATATACATGAACATACACACATATATATACTACATATACATAAACATAAACGTATACGTATACCTATACCTATAACTATACATATACATATACATATAAGTATACATAAAGATATAAATACACATATACATATACATGTACATATTCATAAACGTGTACATGTACACCTGCATATACATATGCATATACATATACATATGCATATACACGTATGTGCTGCATACACATATACACATGCACGCATGTACACATATCCAAATATACACATATACAGATGTACATCATACCTATATAACTATAAATACACAACCTATTCGTGCATAAATGTACACATGTGTATATGATATACATATACATGTACATATACCTATACATATGCATAGACATAGACATATACACACGCAACGACCTATACGCTTACATATGCACATGCGTATGTGTACACATATGCACATATACAGTTACATAGTGCATATACACATGATATACATACACGTATACATATGCATATGCATATACATCTACACATACAAAAAATACGGCACCAAAGAAAAATCGCAGTCCAAGTATTGTCAGGGCTATGGGGTTATGGGGCTAAGGGGCTATAGGGCTATAAGGTGACAAAGCTATGGAACGATAGTGCTATAGGCTTATAGAACTAAAGGTCTATAGGGCTGCAGGGCTATATGATTATTGAGCCATAAGGCTATAGGGCTGTAGGGCCATAGGGTTACGGGGTTATGGGGCTCTGGGGTTATGGGGCTACAGAGCAGTAGGGTTACGAGTCTATAGGGCTATCGGGCTATAGGGCGATAGGGCTATGTATAGGGCTATAGGACCATACGGTTATAGGGATATAGGGCTATGGGGTTATACTGCTATACGCATATAGAGCTATGGGAAAATCGGATTATAGAGCTATAGGGCTATCGGACTATACAGCTATAAGGCGGTAGGGCTATAGGGCGATAGGGATATAGGGTTATACTGCTATTGTGCTATTGGGCTATTGGGCCACAGGGTTATAGGGCTATGGGGCTATAGGGATATTGGGCGGCTATAGGGCTAAAAGGCTACAAGGCTGTGGGGTTGAAGGACTATACGGCTATAGGGCTATCGGGCTATAAGGCTACACCGCTATAGGACTCTGGGACTATTCCGCTATAGGGCTAAGGCTATAAGGCCATAGGGCTATACGCCTACAGGGCTATTGGGCTAGTATATGGATATTGGGGTATTGGGCTATAAGACCATAGGGCGAGAATAAAACTTTAGGGCTATAGGGCTATAGAGCTATAGGGCTATGGGGCTATAGGGCCATGGGGCACCCGGGCACCCGGGCACCTGAGCACCCGGGAACCCGGGCGGGCCGCGGAAATCGGTGACACACCTCACCTACCCATGTGAATCCACCAGGACCCCTACAGAGGCAAGCTCTGGTTGCGGAATATAGATCTAGGATTGTGGAGGAGGGAGGGAGGGATGGAGGGAGCGACGAAGGATCACGAGCGGCGACCACGCCCGTATCCGCTCCCTCGCGGTCCGGGGGCCCCGGGGGGCCACACCGCGGACCGCGCGGGATCACACGGAGACGTTCCGCGCGGGGCAGCCGCGACAGAACGCACCGCATCCGCGCGGTCGCGGCTCAGAGGCCCAGCCCGCGAGGCCGCGGACACCCATCGGTCGGAGGAAGTCGGTAGAAACAAGAAGTAGGGAGGCTTTGAATGTAGATTGGGTGTCCGCCCGCCCCCTTCATGAGGACGGAAAAGGTAAAGCCACTCGATCATTGAAGTAGGGACGCGCTTGATATGGCGTTCGCCCACGAAGGGAAGACGGAGCGAGGAGGAGCGAGGGGAAAGGAATAAGATTAGATGAGCCACGCTTGCGACCCTCGTCCTGACTCCCTGCTGCTACCAGCAATGATAGAGGCGGTGCATGGCGAGCAAAAAGCGGCGGATCTGCGTCAGCCCTCCAGCGGGAGGAGACCTGCTGTCGGCGACCCTGCAGAGCGGATGGTTTAAGGCCAGCCTCGGACCTTCCTTTGGGGACACCTGAAGGCCGAGGCTCGGCACCATCGACTGAACGCGACTAGAACATACGAGGGACGCATCGTCCCGCCTGAACGGTATGGGTACGAAGCATGGCCACGACAATCACTGTACACAAAGAGGCTGGCCCAGAGAGAAAATGACCCCGCCCACGGGCTCGCTATCATGAAGCGTCGGTCCTCTCATCAATGCCCTCTTACAACGGATTGGCTGACGACTCAACTGGCAAAAATATGAACTGTATTCGATGTATAAAACATGGGTGCTAACAACGCCTGTGCACGATCATTGGCAGCTGCGCACTAACATTCTGCAACTTGACACCTCGAACATTCGATGTGCGGGCAGCGAGAACGAGCAACGAAATGACAAACTCAAGTGTGGGAGCTTTGAAAATGTGAAAGAGCTGGCCAGAGGGAGTAGTGTGCTGGAGAATGGGGCTAGGTGGTCGGTTTTGCAGCGCAGTCAGCCTTTGGTGCCGGAGTAGATTCTGACCACGCGGTTATTTTGGATCTGCGTGGAGGCCCCCTCCCCGGCGCCGCCCAACGCGCCAGGGAGGGAGCTTCGGCGCAGATCGAGGAGATCCGAGAGGGCCTCCGAAAGTGTACGCTGATGCCGTTTATTCCTCTTCGAGCAGTGGGAGGAGGAGACACGCTTTCAGTCCGCGGGCGCCAGGTGGTCCAAGACTGTCTGACGAGGGTCGTCGCAAGCGCGAGCAGGAGAAGCAGGGGGAGTGCACGTGCTCCAGGAGGACGAGACGAGGGCAAGCGGGCAAGACGCGAGACGAGGGCAAATTGCCCGCACGCGTCAGTCCACTGGGGCCGGCCCCGGACTGACCCCGGACTGACCCCGGACTGACCACGGACTGACCCCGGACTGACCCCGGACATACAGTACGTTGTGTTGAGTATGCAGGTCCCGGCTCGGTAAAATTAGACTCGGTAAACATAGACCTCGGCTAAACTAGGTCGGCATCTGATATCTAGTTTAAACGAGTGGAGAGTACTTCCAGAGCAGTGCTTTGGCGGCGCTCAACCCTTCAGCTGTCGTGGCTGGGGTCGGCGCAGCGTGCTGCAGTCAGGAGGAGGAGGCGGCGGCGGCGGGAGGGAGGAGGAGGAGGAGGAGGACAGAGGGCGAAGAGGAGGAGGAGGAGGAGGACGAGGAGGAGGAGGAGGAGGACAGAGGGCGAAGAGGAGGAGGAGGAGGAGGAGGACAGAGGGCGAAGAGGAGGAGAGGAGGAGGAGGAGGAGGAGGAGGAGGGCAGGCGGGCGAGGCCCCGCGGGGCAGCGCAGGAGAGCCCCCCGACGCCTCGCGCGAGGGGGCGCGCGGGGCCCCACGGCGCGCGCGGCGGGGCACGCCGCGGGGGCGGCGCGCCGGGGGTTCTGCAGGGAGATGGGCGCCATCTTGGCCAGCCCGAAGTCGCAGACCTTGACGTCGGTGTCGCTGTCCTCGCATCCAGGGGAAGAGAACAAAAGACAGCATCCACCCGAACTGTCGACGGTCCGCGCGGATGTCTTGGCTCTGCGCTAGGACCCCTGGCGGCGCTTCTGGCGCCGCAGAGCGCCAGGGAGGGGGGTCTAGCGCAGATCCAAAAAAAGTCCGCGCGGACCATCGACATGTTATATTTACGCAGCTGCTTTCTTATTCGGGCCTGGCGCATCAGGGAGGGCCGACAAAGGACCACCAGAGCATGCCCCACAACAGACCCTCCTCCCTCCTCCTCCTCCTCCTCCTCCTCCTCCTCCTCCTCCTCCTCCTCCTCCTCCTCCTCCTCCTCCTCCTCACACTCCTCCTTCCCTCCTCCTCCTCCTCCTCTCCTCCTCCTCCTCCTCCTCCTCCTCCTCCTCCTCCCCCTCCATCCTCCCTCCTCCTCATCCTCCTCCTCCTCCCTCCTCCTCCTCCTCCTCCTCCTCCTCCTCCTCCTCCCCGCTCCCTCCCTCCCTCCCCTCCCTACCCCCCTCCCTCCCTCCCTTCCCTCCCCCTACCTGTCTCCGCCTCCCTGCCTTCCCTGCCTCCCTGCCTCCCTCCCGCCCGCCCGACCGATCGACCTCCCGACCGACCGACCAACCGACCTCCCCCTCACCTCCTCTCCTCTCCTCCTCTCCTCCTCCTCCTCCTCCATCCTCCACCTCTCCTCCTCCTCCTCCTCCTCCTCCTCATCATCATCATCATCATCATCATCATCATCAGCAGCAGCAGCACCATCAGCATCATCAGCATCAGCATCATCCTTATCCTGATCATCATCATCATCAGCATCAGCATCATCATCATCATCATCACCATCATCATCATCATCATCATCGTCATCAGCATCATCATCATCAGCAGCAGCATCAGCAGCATCAGCAGCATCAGCATCAGCGTCAGCATCAGCACCATCATCAGCATCATCATCATCATCACCACCACCACCATCATCATCATCATCATCACCACCACCACCATCATCATCATCATCAGCAGCAGCAGCAGCAGCGGCAGCAGCAGCATCATCATCATCAGCATCATCAGCATCATCAGCATCATCATCATACTCCCCCCCACTCTTCGTCCTCCTCGTCCTGACGGTCGGGAAAGCCCTGGACTCCCTGAGTGGAGCTCGGGCCCCTCTTCGTCTGTGCCCCTCGGGGTGCGCTCGTAGCTTCTGCCGCGACCTCCTGACCCACACGCGCTCGGCAGAGCTGGGAGTGGCCCGACTGGCTCCGCCGTGCCGTTCGGGTGCGGCCGGTAGCCGCGTCCTCCTCCTCCTCCTCCTCCTCCTCCTCCTCCTCCTCCGCCGCTTCCTCCTCCAAGACACCCATCGCTCCCTCCGATGATCCTCCGAGCGCGTGGTGTTTTGCCAACGCCTGCTCGTCCGCTGAGGCCCTCGAACACGACGTCAGGCGGGGTACTGAGGGCCGACACAGGCTGCGTGCGGATAGAACACGTTCCGAGGATATAAGTGCACCGTCGGGGCCAGGAGGCGGCCGCCTCTGCCCACCCGATGTGATACCCGGGTAGCTATACCGTTCCCTCCTCTCCCCTCCGCCCCCCCCCACCCGCCCACGCCCACAACTTGGGAAGAGCAGAGAGGGTGAGAGAGAGAGAGAAGGAGTAGATTGGATCGGCAGGCGTGACGAGGGTAGCCTGCTCAACCCCCCCCCCTCTCCCGCAGCTGGCACGCGCTTCCTCTCAGCAGAGCTGGGCGGAACTTAGCATCCTCGCAGGGCTGCTTGCGCGCAGCTTGCTACTCACGAGTGATCGCTCACGAAGCAAGAAGACGCACGCTATCCTAGGCAACATTGGCTCATACGAAAAAAGCAGCTCGAAAGGTCCTGACCCGAGCAGCTAGACTTCCGCTCGGGCAGGGTTCCCTAGCAGATGCAAGCGAAACCCCACCGAAGTGCCCACTTCAGAAGCAGGCGTGTGTCTCCACCAGCTCTGTCCCCTCGCGCGCTGCGAGAAATGGTGCTTGGGATCCCAGCCAGTTTGCGTCAGAGGGGAGGGGGAGGTGGGGAAGGGGGAAGGGGGAAGGGGAGCAGGAGTGGAAGGGTTGGGGGAGGCGATGGGTGAAGGGGGGGGGTGCAGCCGTCGCTTGACATTTCCCTACCTGTCATGGTCCCGAAGCGCAGCAACAAAAACAGAACCATTGACAAAGATAGAGGGCCGGTGGTCTACAAAAAGCGGCACACGCCTTGGCGCCGCGCACATTGGCTTCTAAACATAGCCAGCAAGTACAAGACTGGAGGGCCAGTCGGTTTCAGCATGCGGCCCTCGCTCCAGCTCTGCGCAGAGTCGTTCAAAGTTGCCACCGGCCACAAACATGAAGGGCTGGTGGTTTTCAACATCCGGCTATCGCCTGACTCGCGCCGCGCACACTCGCTTCCAGCTGCGAACAGCTACAAGGATGAAGGGTTGGCCGTGTTCAACATGCGACGATCCCTTGACACCACGCGCATTCGTTTCAACGGCTTCCAACGGCTGCTAAAGCGGAGAGCGAACTGTTTTCATAATGCAGCTCTGGTTTGATCCACTCCTCAATGTGTACTGTTGAGGCGTTTAATATTACAGTATTAATTATCAGAACAATTTGTCCTGTAATGTAATGGGCGTACGTGGGGGTGGGGTTGGGAATTGGGGAGGATTGTATATCCTCATCATGAAACCCTCCCCCAACCCCGCTGACGTCTTTACATGGCGCAAAAAAAGATTATCGAAACGATTGCTCCTGTAATGTAATGTTTTGTTGCCCCTGCTGTAAGAACCGACCTTCCGATCTTGAACACCGCGTACACGGCTGGAGGGCGGGCCGTTTTTGTTGTAAAAAATGTGGCTCTCGCCTGAGACAGCCGCAACTGATGTGACCCTCGGGAGCGGCCAGGAGGGGGGTGTCCAAGAGGGGGCTACACGCAGGAGTGACCCTGGGTAAGAGTGACCTTTGGTGCGCGACTTTTTGGGGGCCGCGGGGGGCCAAACCTGGGCGCGCAAGCAGCTGCTGCTGCTTCGTCTTCAGCCATCTGGGGACCCATCTGTGCCCGCACGAAAGGTCACTCTGGCGAAAGGTCACTCTTACGTCTAGTCGATCCAAGAGGGGGGGGTGCAAATCATGGCCGGCGGCATGTGCGCGGCCCAGCGGGGGGGCCAGGGACGTAATCAAGTGAGAAAAGGCGCCATGAAATATCTGGGGAAATATCATGGCCCCCGCCATGATATCCACCCCCCCCTAGTCATTACCCCCCTTACTGGGCCGTGGAAACGACAGGGCCGTTTTTTTACCGGTACCGTTTTGCCGTTTTGTTGCCGGTTCCGACGCTGTTTTTTACCGGTTCCGTCGCCGTTTCTTGGCCGCTTCCGGCCCCGGGTCCAATCCTGTAGCCCTTGTTTTTTGCCGTTTCCGGTCGCCGTTTTTTTGCCGCTTCCATTTTCAAGGGACATTTTTCGGAAACGGTGAAGAAACGGCCCTGCCGTTTCCGGGGCCCACAAAATCACCCCTCCCCCCTCTCTGCCGCCCCCGAGCGGGCCGAGCGCCCAAACTGCGCAGCGCTCCCCCCCCTAGTCTCCCCCCACCCCCTAGTCATCACCCCCCCCCTAGTCATCACCCCCCCCCTAGTCATCACCCCCCCCCTAGCCCTCAAAGTCACCCCCCCCTGGGTTTTTAGTTGTTGATATTAGCAAATTGTTTTGTTCAGATTGTGATTCGACTAAGCCAGAGCCAACAAAAGCATCGAACAATAATCTAGATTCAATAATGAATGAAATAATCGCAAGATAAACACGTCATCACCCCCCCCTCTCTGCCG